TGTATGTCTTACAGGAACTCACGTCTCCAGTCACGAGTGTTTGCTTTACCGACGCCCGTCATTACCTGGACGTTTACGTATAACTATCGCCGTGTATGACTTTGGTCGGATACACTGTATTCAAATTGTTATCCGGGCTCTTTAGGGACAGTGATTTCGACGCGATTACGGGGCGTGACGTACACTGTGTTGTCATGTGGGGGGCACGCGGGGCAAAACGGACAGACACGCGGCCACGTTTTGACGAAACCGGGGAAAAGTCGAAATTTTTAAACAGCCGATTAGAATTATCGTTTCTCGGTGGAGAAAACTTGTCGCTGTTTTATTCCTCTGCGGCAACTCAAAAATTAAGTTATTACTACGCAACAATCGACTGGCGGTCATATAGGTTTACGACACGTCACGCCGACCATATTATATCCGAACTGTTAAAAAGAATACGACAAAAATTAAATTGTTCAGCCGTACGAAAACCTCAGCGTTACCCGCCGGTCCGCCTCACGCGTTCCCCTACACCGCGCTATCGCATAGTTTATGTACCGGCGAATCTGGCCCGGCCCGCGCACAAAGGTCAACGGTACGAAAATGAATTAACACGTGTGTACGTTAACGCGATAACGCGTGTAACGCGTTACAATATTTTATATTATCGACCGCACGTATTGTTGCTCAATTTTATCTATCGTATTATGCATTCGATTATTTTTTAATTTTTTTTTTTTCCCCCAACGGTGATCGTATAGCGATTTTAATTACAATGCGATCGGATTTCGCGCGCCACCGCCGCCGCGTACACTCGAGTGTGTGTGTAAATAATAATAATATGCAAATATATCGAGTAACGAAATCGTTGTTATTGCTACAGCTTGTTTTATAAGTAGGTTTTCGTATTGGCAATTCATTTCACTCGCACGTAATGTATTACGTTTGTCCGCGTCCGGTATTGCGCGGCGCGAAATACACCGTACGGCACGCCGTCGTAACGGACATTTTGTCGAGTCCTGCGCACAGACGCGACGTGCAAGCGCGCCGGCGAGAGTGCCGCGAATCCTTTGGACACCGACCGCGTGCGGAACGCGCGCGCGAGTGCTGAACGATACGACGGCTGAACGCACGGCCCGTTCCCCGCATTTCGGGGCCCGAAAACACGCGCGCGCGCTTGGCCGCATCGCGCGGAGAGACCGCGGGGGCGGCGCGGAAGAAAAAGAGGAACGGAAACGACGAGCCGACCGGGTTCGCTGTCAAAAACCGAATCGCGAAAAAACACGAAAAACTTACACAGACCGCGTCTGTAATTGACGCGCGCGTTCGCGGAGACCGTACGAGACGCGGGTGGCAGAGAGTCCGGCAGCAGAACGTCGTAACCGACCGGAATTGTAATGCGCGTGCACGGAGGGAACCGTACGGCCGGCAAGAAGAACGAGAGGATGAAACAAAAAAAAAAAACGTTCGGTTATCTGTGGACAACGCGGGGAGACAGTCGAGACGCGGTAAATACAATGGCCGCGCGCCTACAATCGCACGACGCTAACGCGAATATTTGACGAGTAGCTCGGCGTCGATTTGTGTGATTAGGCGGGCGGGCCGACTTTACGACGACTGGGCGGCCCGCTGCGGGGGTCGTTCCAAAGCGTTATGCGCGCAATGTTGCAATTTGCCGTGCACGGTAAATTGCCATATGAACCGCGTATTTTTTTAATTTTATTTTTTTTATTTTATTTGTAAACGATACACGCGATGGCGTGGTCATTTTCGATTGTCCGTTCAGTCTCCTCGATAATTAGTTAAACACGCCGGCAATAAACCGAGAATACATTCACGCGATATGGGTTTCCTTTTTTTTTTTTTTTTTTTTCTAACCTTTAAACAATTTGTCTACCAGAAATCTCGCTCCGATCAAAAACTTTATAGGAGCTTACCGTAACTGAGGGGCTATTTGGAAAACTCAAGGGACTCGGCTCTCTCAAGCCTCCCTCTCCCTCCCCCCCCGTCTAGTTGCGCCTTCGGCTATAAGTGACGAGCGTGTCGAATTGAAATTTCGACGAAAACCACGACGTTTCATAACATTGTAATGTTGAATTATAACGGTGTAATATACTGGTATCGGTTTAACCGACCTTCGTTCAGAATCGTTTTTCTTTAGCGGTGTACATATATTAAACGGCTATCTTTTGGTTGGCGCGAGCGAAACACACCCCGGCGTCGTCGCACATCCGCACGGCGCGGGGCGGGGGAGGGGGGTTAGAAGTGCCGGAGAATTTTCGATAAGAACCGTCGCGAAGTGCGTAAAACATGTATGGCGAACCTTTACGACGCAACGCAGCAACGCGTAATTATTATTGTTTCGCGCTCCAAAGCCGCCACGCCGACAGCGTACGTGCGCGCGCGCGTGCGTCGCCTCGTTTTTTTTCTGGTATTATTGTTTTTTTTTTTTTTCTCTCACCATAATGGAAAAAAAAAAAAAAACCCCCGAAACAAAACGCCGCGCCGCCGCCATTGGTCAACGCCTTTGGTCTATTGTCGCCGCGCGTTACTATTATTATTATTATTTGGCTATTCGCCGACGCGGATCGCGTTATTATATCGTAACGCATTATATTTTATTATACTTGTGTTGTTGTTGTTGTTGTTGTTGTTGTTGTCGCGGCCGCCGCCGCCGCCGTTGTCGTTGTTATTATATTATGGCGAGCCTCGCGCGTTCCGCCGCGGCCGTCGCCGTCGCATCAAATGGCGCCCGATGTTAATTAGCGGATTAAAGAAACGGTAGCAGCCGCTGTCCCGCGGTGCGCCGCACAAAAACAATGACGACGGCGACGGCGACGGCGGCGACGACGACGACGACGACGACGACGGAGCGATCGTCGTAAATAATGATAATAATAATATTATAATATGTCCCGGGAGGAGGAGGAGGAGGAGAAGAAGAAGAAGAAGAAGAGAAAAAATTAAAACGAAAAAAAAAAAAAAACAAACACCGCCGCCGCCGCCGGAGCACAGACGCGTCTATTCAACGGCGCGGCGGCGGCCCGGGGAATAGTAATAATAACCGACGACGGCGAGCGGCGCGGGTAATAATGGTACAATGGGAGCGCTCTGTTGAGCGATCGCGCGCTGGCTCCCGTGCAACCCGAAATCTATACTAATAATAATAATACTGAAACAATGGCCGGCCGCGAGTATAATAATAATTATATTATTATAATATTATTATTATTCCCGCGTGCGCGCGCATTGTGAGGGCGGCCATGTGAAAATAGTATTATTTATTATATCGACCCGTGTAAGTGAGACGGGGAGTAAAAAAAAAAAATAAAAAAAAAACAACCGACTGCGCGTGCCGGAGGTGGTAAAAATTCGATTTCGGCGGCGGCGGCGGCGGCGCGGCAGACGACGCGCTCATAGCGGTAGAAGAAGATGGAGAAAAAAAAAAAAAAAAAAAAAAAAAATCACTATACACGGATCGAAGACCGCGACGACGACGACAAAAGACCCGGGCGCGCGCGCTCTCTCCGCACACCGAATGCGGGCCCGTTCTTTTTGGCCCGCGGACGTGAAAATTCCCGAAAACATTTTCATCGCCGGCGGACGCTCCGTTCCTCTCCACCCCCCCCCCCCCCCCCCCCCCCCCACCCCTACCGCCCGTACCACTCCGTTCGCCGAGTGTCGTTTTGTTGTCATCCGGGCGAATTTCGTAACGCCGACGACGGATATTATTGTCATTAGTCCGGGCCGTTTCGGGCGTCCAACGAAAAAACGCGACGCGAAAATAGAAACGCGTTTCCCCGTTTCTAACCCCGTCCGTAAACCGCTACGCCCGCGACGGTTGCCCCCCCCCTACCCCTCGTAGCAAACGTTTAGAAATGACGTTTCCCGGGCCGGGCCGTCAAATCGACTGCTCTTTAATAATAAATGACCGTTTTCATCCGTGCGATCCACGTAACCGACGAAAAATCCGAAATTTCCGTTTCGCCCCGGCGGTCAGCGGTCGAATTTCGGGCGTGCGAAATTTCGCCGAGACGAAACGAAACCGTACGTTTGTGTAGCGGTTGAATAAAGGTAACGTTCGTTTGTATACCGTTATCACCTTATTCAATACAGCGCGAGATAAAAAAAAAAAAACGGTCGGATTACGAAAATATATTTTTCGGGGGGGGGGGTTGATGAACGTGTGAATATGGATGCGTTAAAACGCCGTTGTATTGCACGTCTACCGAACGACACGAGTGACGACGAGCGGTCGCCTCCCGTTTTTAAGGGGTTGCGTATAGGCAATTTTTTTCGAAATACGAAATCGTATCGGCTCAAAAATATTCATTAAAATCCGCGTCGCATTCCCGTTAAACCACCCGGGTTGTGGATCCGATAAGTAAATCGCGTTTATACCGTTAGGAAAAATAAATGAAAAGAGAACTTGCACCGCGCGAGTTTACCATTTTGTTTGCCGGACAACGTGACAGTTCCATTGTGGGAACCGTGCCATTGGATCGGTAAAATATGTCTGCCGCCATTCGCGACCGCGGAACGGGGATAGAGAATCGTTTCCCCGCGGAAACGGTCCGCCGTGTGTAGCGATCGTTAAAGCGCTGGGAATTCGCTTTGTTGTTCGCCGTCAACTGATAAACCGCGTGCGAGTGGGCACGCGACTGATATGCCGAAAATGAATAATCGTCATAACATTACGTACTCGGTCCGGGGACTTTCGTCGTTCGCTCGGTCGCGCCGGAACCTAATCGAAAATGAAAATAACGAAAATTGGAGGAAGAGTTGGAGGAGGAGGAGGAGGAGGAGGGTGTTTTTGTTAAATATAGTTTTCAGTTTTTCACGTTCCCACCGCAGACGTCTTCCCCGGACGGCGTCGGGCCGACGAAATCGAAATTGTCGACGGGGCCGTTGCGTAGAAGGTTTGCACTACCGAACCGCCGACCGCCGGTCCGTCCGTGCGCGCGGGCGTGTCCGACATCGTAAATGTCCAGAACTGCCCGCGTTATGGAATTTCACTGCGTTGTTTTGCTGCGCCGTCTGGATAAAACCGTTTGTTTTATTTCCCCGTCGATATTTCCCTGCCGTTGAATAAAATAACAAAACGAACACGTTCAAATTGATCGTAACGGGCGAGCTGCGACACTCTGGTGTCGGCGGTCCCGCCGCCAACGTGTTTTTATTTCATTTTTCGGATTCTGAGCCGAGAAACGTGTTGGTTTTACTAAGGTTTTTATTTGAATCTTTTCATTTTTCGTCCGCCCGACTATCGCACTTTACACGATACGTATTTTACTACCGCGCCTAACCTGTACGGGCGCGTTTTAAAACAAACGACGATAATATTGTTGCGTCAAGTCCGAGCCGATACGTATTGTAATTACCACACATAGATAATAATATAATTAGAAACGGTCTTATTTTTTTTTCTCTCTTCTATACTACACACTCCGCGACCGGGCGCGAACCAGAATTAATTAATTTTTCTTTTCGGACCGAAAGATTTATGAAAATTAATCGCGTACAACTATAATACACACACGCGTGTATATAGCGACGACGACGATTCTCCTTTTGACGCCGGTGTATAATATTTATTCTTTTTTTTTTTTAATGGAAAGTCGGTTCGTTCCGATTCATCACTATTGTTACCCGTCCGATTGAATTTATAATTAAAAACGTATAATCTCATAAACTTTATTGTTAGGTACAACCCGTGGTACTACCATTTATACTACCGGCGTCCGACTTACGCGCGTATACAAATTATAAAAACATAATGCATCGGAGCGAGTGTGTATAGAACACACGGGCCGAAAACTCGACCGAATTTTGAACATTTTTTTTCAGACTGTGGCGGCGAAACAACAGCAAAGAAGCGATTACAGTTTGCGCGCGTTATCTGAAAAATACGCGGATATTTTGCCGGGCGGAAATCTTTGTTTGAACGAACGGTCGAAATACTAACGGGTTTTCTATACGGCGTACGAATCGATCGTATTTTTATTGATTTCTGGATATTATTTATTTTTATTTTTTGTTGTTTTTTTTAGCAATACGAAGGAAAAGCTACGTGTAAATATTAATACATAATATTACTCCGCTCCGGATCGGTTTTTCGATTGCGTTGTGAAACGTATCACAACGCGTATTACAACGTGTAAATCAAATCGGTCATTTTTTTTTTTTTTTTTTTTTTTTTTTTCGAAAAAGTGTTTGAAAACCGTTTTAAATTATGTATTTTATAAGCACCATCACGCGGAAAATATCATCTCAGGTATACTGCGTGAAAAAATCCGAGCGGTTTTCAATGACCGAAAAAATGTTTTCCCGCGGGAAAATAAAAAATAGTTTTTGTAAAACTAAATAACGCGCCTTCGCTAGGAGCGCGAAATAATTGGCGTTTATGTTTTATTTAGCTGTCCCGCACGGCGCTTTGCCCGGTATTGAACGAAATGAAAAAAAAAAAAAAAAAAAAAATGTAAAAAAAAACAAAAACGTGTTTCTCTGCGCGATTCCCGGCCGTTTCCGCGCCCGTCCCAATCGTCCGCGGCTAGATAAGAAGCCCTCAAAGCCCGTATACTTGTTTGAAAATCTCGTCCGCGGCGACCAAAGTGGACGAATTGTAATCGCTGTCGTTTTCGTCCGTATCGCCTACAGTTTGCCGATAAAAAAAAAAAAAAAGAAAACATGCAAATAAAAGAAAGAAAACCCAATCTTTCCGGCTGTACCGAGAACCCTGCGTCAGTCGCCCTTTGGCGGTTCGACGGTTTCGAGATTAGGACACCGTGGACAGCGTCGACTGCGTTCTGTTTTCAATGTGCCGGTTGATCGCGACGTTACGCCGAGCTACTTAAAATATCCCGCGCCGCGCCGCCGAGCGGCATAAGGTCCGCGCAATGCAATCGACCGGTCGCAACGTCCGCCGTGCGTATTGTCACTGCAATAAAAACATCGGCAACCGTCGGGAATCGGGCGGTAATTGATCACCGGGGGGTGTGTGAAGGGGTTGTACGGTCGCGCCGCTGAAAAACGTATCGGTTCCGCTCGCCGGAAGACCCGCGGCGGCCGCGCCGTATTGCGTGCCCCGTTGCGACGGACGGCCGTTTGCGTGTGCGACCCGATATCCGGCCGGACCGCCAGCGAAACACAACCGTGTGACGTCGGCGCGGGGAACGGTCGAAATCCGTTTTATCGGTTATCGCTGCACGCGCGGCGATCCGTGTGCGCGACCGCGGCCTGTTATCGACCGCCGGCCCGGTTTCAACCCGAAAAATCGTCGCGAGTACGCACGAGTACGCGCGTGTGTGCGTACGGACGTGACGTTGCGCGGCTTTGTCGGGCCGGGCGACGCGGCGGCGCAGGATATAATATATAATAATAATATGAGGTGGGCGGGTATTTTTTTATATTTTTTTTTTTTTCGAGCCGGTTATGATAAAAAAAAAAAAAACACACATACATACGTACAGACACACACTCGCGCGCGTATTATAACGTGTTCGAGCGTTACAGTGTGTGTGTGTGTGTGTGTGTGTGTGCGCGCGTGCGTGTGCGCGTGTGCGTTCGATGTGATCGGGCGAGAGCGCGCCGGGCGCGCGCGCGTACGGAACGGTCTGGAATGTTGTCCTAAGGCGAACCCAGAGGCCAGGCCCCCGAAGCGTATATAATATATACCTGCCTGCCTGCCTGCCTGCTTGCGTGCGTGTGTGTGTGTGTGTGTGTGTGTGTGTGTGTGTACGTTATCATTATTATTATTGTACAGGTGGTATCCTCGATCGGGGTCACCGGAGTCAGGATTCAGCGGTAGAGAGAGCGAATGAGAGAAAGAGAGAGAGAGAGAGGAGCGAGCGAGGGAAAGAAAAAAAAAAATACGCGCGCTCGGGCCGGTATAAATAAATAGACGCGTACGTAGGTATCTCCTTTTTGAGAGAAATCGACGAAAAAAAAAAAAAATCGCAGATTTATACGCGTTTAAAAAAAAAAAAAAAAATTATATACATACATATATAACGCACGCGTCGCGCATAAATATTATAATAATACCGGACGGCGTTAAAGAAGAAAAAAAAAAAAATATGAAAAAAAACTCGAACTAAATAATTATAATTTTTAATACATATACACACACACATAAATATGTGTATTTTTTTTTTTTTTTACAGTTGGAATTACGCGGATTTCCGAGTGAATCGGCGCCAATTCGATTACGCGTTCTCGGTAAATGTAAATAATATATAAGCAGGTACCCCCATAATGAGATACTCGGAGAATTTTCCTCTTTTTTTTTTTTTTTTTTAGCGAAAAATATCTGGTTCACATTCCGTCCGTCTCCGTCTCACACTCTTGTCGCGAGCGCGCTATCCGCCGATAAAACCGGTACCCATTTAACGAATTTGAATAATAATTGCCCGCGACGGGCAGACCCGCGCGCGATAGTTGCCCGCCCGTACGGGGAAACGCGGATTCGTTTATTATACGCGTGCGTTTTGTCCGCGCCTATTTGTGTTATTAGTTGTTAGAGTTGGCGGGTTTTTTTTTTTTTTTTTTTCCCCCCGTGTCTGTTTAAAGCGGCCCACACGCACACGCTCTGTTAATCCGTCGATTTAACTGAATCCTCGTCCGATGAACGCGTGTTACCTGAATTGAACTGTCAGGTTAACCGCATAGGACCGAGACCTCGAAGCTCGGTCCAAATGCTCAACGTTTCGTCGGACAGAGACAACGGCACAGTTGTCATCGTTCAGTCTCGACGTCACGCAGTTAGACCGATTGATAAACTGGGAGAAGTTAAGAGGAAGTTACTACCGGCATCTACCGTCTCGGTCCAATTACACCGGGTAACAAGCAAAAATAATGCTTACGGAAAATACCCCGGTGAAATTAACTTGAGTTTGATTTTAGAGTAAAAATACCATTGTTATCAAATGTATAGAGAACAATATAGTTCGGAGAGAATTTCATAACTATGACTTAACTATACGTTCGACTCATAAGTGTTTCCCCCCCCCCATTATAAACTATTAAACGAATTAAAGTTATTTAATAAACAGAAAAAAAAAAGTTTTTGTTAGACTCGCGCGAGTTTACGAGTTTGATTCCGCGGGAAACGCGGATATGTATGACATGCTTCTGTAAATATTTAGCTTAACCTGCAGTGGCGACTCGCGAACCGAACGAGAGGTGAGACAGACATTTTAAAAATGTACGGGAGAAAACGCGTTTATCAAAATAAAAACCAATGTCTTATAATTTAACAATATTTTTTCATTTCGCTCCTTTGCTGAAATCTAAAAATAAGTTCCCAAGTTAACTTTTAAAATAATTCCATTAATATTTAATAACTATAACCTTTGAAAACATGAACGTTTTATAACTTCGCTGAAGTTTTATAACAAGGGCTCGGGGATAGTTATAGGAGTTGTACATTTTTCTGTACGCACTGTATTTACAGCGGACCAAGCTAGGCATTTTCCCTACATATAATGGAGGGTTTAAAATGCATATTTTGCATATTTCGTTAACTTCGTATAGTGAAAAAGTGCACGTGTTTATCGGTTTTCGCGTATTTTTAAGCATGTATTATGCATATTTAATGTTCGGTAAAAAATACTGCCCGTTATTATTTTCTACTTTAATCGGTGCATATCGAATAATATTTAATGTAATAATAAAAGTCAATATTATTTAACGCGGTCGTATTTATTGTTGTTTCTCATCGTCTCGGTCTGTAATCAATTTAACGAAAACGGTGCGATGATTGCATTCAATCATTTTTTTTTTTTTTTTTTTTTTCTAGCTCCTCCGACTACTCCCGAGCCCTGTCCGTAACGTACAACATAACGCGGCGGCTGTCCGGGCGACGTCGGCGCGCTGGTCACGCGGGACCCGATCGGCGGGCCCGCCGCAGACCGTCGTCAACTGCCCGCCTGCCGGGGGTGTCTCGCGCGGGCGGTCGCGCGCTACGACGCCGGACACCCGGAGACGGTCGACGTTGACGGTTGTTCGACGTCCGCGAAATCGCACCGCGGCGACGGTCGGCGCGGTGCGATTTCGCGACCGACACAGCTACGGGCGGGAACGGGCGAACATCGAAAAAGGCCCGCGGCCGCGCGAGTGCAACGGCCGTCGCGCCGGCGGCACACGTACGGCAGCGCACAGCGGCGAGCGGAGCCGTATTGTCGTAAAACCAGAAGCCGCCGCGGGGCCGTTTGTGCGCGGGGGTTACAATAACAGTACGGCCGCCGATCGGTGGAATATTCTCGTTGTTTTTCGGCATTCTTCGGATTCTATTGCCGCCGCCGCGGCGATTTCGGCCTCAACGACGAGACGTCGCTGCTGCTATAGACGGACGCCGAAGAATCTCTCGGTCAGCCGTTTTTCCCCCGATCGAAACGCAACATCGTACACGTGTGTGTATATATATATATACACGTACATAATATGCGTCGAGACGAGCCAGTTGGAGCAAAAAAAAAAACCGGGTCGTTTTGCCAACCGGCGGCCGGCGTTCAAAGAAAGCCGAAATAAGTGAACAGTACGTGCGGGGCGGGAGGAGGAAGGAGAAGGGGGAGGGGGAGGACACGGGGAACGAAAGAAAAAAAAAAAACACCACGTCCAAAACGAAATCGTACGGTTTCGAATTCCGCGCGCCAACTGTCTTCTCGGAATTCCGTCCGCTTCTGCACCGCGGACCGAAACCGTCCGGGGTCCCCGTCGTCTCTGCCGTTTCCGGAGCCGTATTTGCCCGCGCGGAGACGGCACCGAATACCCAAAGTCGCCCTTTCCCGAGATTTTCCGCGCAATAATTGGCCGCCGCGCGTCGTCGTCGGGCGCTTTCTAAAGCGTCTTTTCTACCCGCGGGTACCGCGCGGTGTGTCATTCGCCCGGCGCGTTCGACCGCCGCCGTCGTCGCACGTTCCCGCGCGATTCGAACGCCGACAATCGGACGACAAAACGGCCCGTATTATCGTAACGTGTCGCGCCGAATGCGTACGGCGGCCGCACATCCGAGTTCCGTCCCGACGGGAAAAAAAATGATACGTACCGATTGAAAATGTTCGCATCGATGTTTTAACCATACATAACACGTTGAGTGCGCGCGATTCAAACGCGGTTTTTTACTTTCATGTATATTATTATTGAATTTGTTATTGGATTGAATTTATGCGATATGAAAACAAAAGAAATCATAATAATAATAATTTATACGGACACGTGTCCAATCAATGTTGAAATACAGAAATAATTCAAATAATATTAAATCACTAACGTGTACAGATTCAAATTGTTTAGCGCGTTAACCGAAAGCAATATTATCTTTATTTCTAAACAATACGAAATCGTTACCGTAGTCGTAAATTGCATGCTGTATGTTAATGGAGTCTAGAAAATGCAAAACTGGACGGAACTCGTGCGATTAAATAAATAACGCGGGACGGAATTGGTGTAACCGTTTTAAAAACCCGGGGACGGAACTTGTATATCCTATTGTAAACAAATTCTCCATTTGGGACGGGACCCGGATGCGGCCTGTATAATTCGTGAAACGGCCGGCGAGCGAATCGCGCCCGGTTCGTGCGGAACGACGGGGCAAAAGACTGGTCTAATAAATTGTCCGATCAAAGGCGAAACCGTAATACATACCTAGCGACAGTGCGAATGTGTTCAATATTTTAGATTCTGAGCGGAGCGAATAAGGAGCTCAAGGTTTTACAATGGTGTTTTGTTTTTTTTTTTCTGCGGACAAATTTTCTACGAGTAATTTTGCTCCGATCATTCACGAACAATGATGATAGCGCATTTTATGAAAAGAAATCAGGCTGGGAATAGATACTTTGGGAAGCAGTTTTTTTGATTTTCTCGAAAGTTTTCCCCGCAAAAAAAAAATGAGAAAAACGGGAAAATGTACGAAAAGCGTTACAGTAAAATATTACCGCGGTCTTTCGTTATAATATTATATCGTCGTTTAAACGCAATTTCATTTAATAAACTACGGATTTGTTATGAATTATTCATATTATATATTATAGACGGTGAGCGGAGCGAGGAATGTATTGGTTTTATACGATACGTTTATTAATTTATCCCCTGCGAACGACTTTTCTACCGGAATTTCTCTCCGATTTTCAAGTGTAGCACTTTTTCCGAAAGGAAATCTGATTGGAGCGGAAATTTTTTAGGAGGTGATTTTTTTTTTTTTTTTGATTTTCCCGGGGGTTTTCGTAGTAAACGAGAAAAACCGGGAACGTTTACGAAACGTATACATTATTTTCGAATCGTAAACATTACGGCCTTTCAAAACACGACCGAACTCCGTTCAGAATCGTTTTTCGTTAGCAACACATATGCGTTCGTTTCGTGCAGACGCGCACCGATCATTTCTCCTCCATACCGTCCCATCTTCTCGCCAACAACAGCGGCCCCTACTGCACCATTCGCGCGAAGTACGTCCGTTGGGTTGGGTTTCAAAGCGAATAGGGTCGAAGCGATTTTCAAAAAGCCGCGCAGTGTAATAGTACATCGATATCGTTACGATAATATCACACCGACTGTCGGCATTCAAAAAACCTATCGATTCTCGGACGAATCCTCGGGCGCTTGTGTACACAACGCCCGTATGCACAATAACCTCGCGGCGCGTGCCTCCAGCGCGATACGAATAATAAACACGTGTACCGCGTGTCGTTCTACAACCGTGCGATTCGTTCCGAAACAACGAGTTTAATGTTTGTCGAAAACATAATTTACATTTCGTACCCGTACGGCGTACCCGTAGCGGCGCGAGTCACAAGCCGCGCAATCGTATGGCTGCAATCCGATCCACCACAGTTTTATCGTTTTCACGACCCGACATTGAGCACGGGTGCAATCAAACAATAATAATCCAAAGTACAACGTTGTTGTTTATAAAATAATGTCATTGACAATGAAAAAAACAACAACCGTACGACACATACATTGGACATTTTAAAGCGGTATCCCTAAATACTTATTGCCCGCTTTCAACAGATATTTTAGTAAACCTTTAGAATGTTTATCCGTTAAATAATCGGCTTGGTAAAAAAAGCCATTATATCGGGGTTACGCGAATATTTTCGCCTTTCTCAATAAAACTCAATACTTCTACCACTGTTCGTTTCAATTGACTGTAAAGCACAACGATCGACGGATACAAAGGTCGGGGACGACCCACCTTTGCGTACAGTATAGTATACTGTAGTGTTTCAAAAGACTCCGTCGGTGTGTCGGTGCTCGGTTGTAGACGGATTTGTCCGGGTGATCGCTTCTCCGGGGCTCTCCGCGGAAAACCCTCGCCCGTCGGCCCGTGGAAATCGTACGCGTTTTTCGATCGTTCGGCGCGCGCCGTAGTGATTTAAACGCCGCAGCAGTATGAGTGCACGCGGGTTCATAATCGTGCGCGAATACGCACCGGTACGGTCGCGTCCGAAAACCGCACGTTTCCACGGTCGACGGGCAGGCGCGTTGCGCAGCCAAATGCCCGTACAGCAGATCACGACGGACAATATTATCCGAAACATTGTCGCGTGAACGTATTGTCCGTCCAATTGGAAAACAAAAACGAAAACACCAGTGTCCGTGTTTAATGGGCACGTTTCAACGTCAGTAATACATTTTCGTCGTTTTCGACGGACGCGGGGGACCGTTTAAAATTTCCGAACGCCGTCGCGGCATATCGCCATTAATCACGTGAACATTTTTTTTTTTTTTTTTTAAATATTTTTCAATTCTTTAAAAACCCGACGGTTTTTCCGCTTGAAATTTCGACCGGTTTTTTATTTTTCTTTTTCGCTCTCCGATTTCATATTATCGATCGCGTTTTACATTAATATTTCAACGGCGCTGATCGACAGACACAATTGTAATGTTATTATAATTCGTTTTACACGGTTTTCGACCGATTGCCCATTAACGACACGTTTACGCGCTATCGAGGGAACGCGCGGACTTTCCGTTGTCGGAATTTCGAAAAGCGCGCGCGCGCGGTTACGTTCGGCGTTCTGCCGCGCGCGTGCGGTTTTCCCGAACAACGTCAACCGAAAATAGCAAACGAGCGAAAACGGACCGGCGTTCTGTTACCGTATTTATACGGCACGCGCGCAGGCGTCGCGGGCAGGCGGTGCGCCGCGCAAGAGTCACGCGCGAGATTTTCCACTCGGGTTTTTTTTTTTTTCTCTATCGCGTTACAGAGGCCTCGGCGGTTACCTGCCTCCCGCGACGTACGTACGGCGCTGTACGCGCGTACGCGTACGCGCATACGAGCGCCGCCGGTGTACACACGGTCGCACACGCAGCGAGACTCTACGGTCGTTGGTACGCGAACGCGCCTCGCGATGTGTCTCGCGTATGTACGCGTGCGTGCGCGCGTACGCTTATTGATAAATGGCGCTGAATTTCAAAACAGGAACTTTCCCCGCGCCGGTCGATTTAATGGCCGGACGGCAAAATCGACGTGGCCGGCCGTCGGACGGAATATTTGCGCGCGCCTGCCCGCAACCGAGACCTATAACGAGACGACAAGACTTTCTACACACGCACACACGCGCGCGCATGTATTTATTTATATACGTACACGCGCATGCGGTACCTGTAGGACAATAATAACGTATACGTATATTGTATACGAGGGCGGAGAGACCGCGGCCCGTACGACCGGGACCTAAATTGTCAATTAAAAGAAAATAGAAAAAAAAAAACTTCCGACGCGCGCGCGTCCGGGCCGGGAAACGCAATACAATACGAAATTGACCGCCCTCCCCTAACCCGCCCTTCCCGTTATGTATTGCTATAGCATAACGTATGCGGCACGGCATTATTGCCGTGTACGCGCGCGACGCGTGTTTCCCCGGTCGGCAACAACGATAGTTATTGTTGTTCCGCGATGCCTTTTTTTAGTTTTCTTCCGATAATCGCGTCGATACCGGACGGATACCAGTAACGCGGTGGTAATGATGACGGACGGCGGTTTATCGAAACAACGGGAACGGCCGGTTCGACGGAACTCCCCGGCCGGGGGACGCCAGTTTTTCCCGGCGAGTCCATTGCGGAGATGGCCCGGAACGGAAAACCGGCCGCGGCAGCTTTAAAACGAAATTCAACATAGAAAAAAAAAAATACGCGATCCCGTTGTGATGATACTGTTTTGCGCCCGACACTCTCCGCGGTGTTGATAGTAGTTACCGGAAATTTCGCGAAAAAAAAAAAACAACCGACGAGCAGGACTCGGGACTTTATGTACTTAAAACCGCAGAAAAGCGATCGAAAACGTCAAAAAAGTCTTGAAAAAAACCAAAAAAAAAAATGGTAGCATGTTTTTAGTAAAGTGTCCCGTACAATTTATAAAATACGATTTTCGAACACCAGAAATAAATGATCAACACGATTTGTAAGTATTTTGTGTTAACCGTTTTTTTTTAGTATTAGACAATTGCATTCAATGGTTAGTGCCGTGCGGATTCGCTTTACCCCACTGAGACGTCTAGTCATTTCTGCTTTTTAAACATTTTTTTTTTTTTTTTTCGGCGCACTTTTGACGCTTTTCTGTGGATTTTAAATGCATAAAGACCCCGAGCCCCGCTAACGGGCGTATACTGCGGGTAATCATATTTATTCGTTTATTTTTTTTAACGTAGTTCAGCGCGTACACATCCCGAACCCCGTATTCGTGAGTCGGCATACGGATTTCGTGACGTGCCCGGACATTTACGAGTAAAATAACAATCGCGCGCGAACCGTCCGCGTTACCCGTCGACCCGCGTGCAACGGGGATTAAGGCCCGCCCACATTACGAGAGGTACACCTACGCGCGTTTTCGAGTCAATGCGGAAGGGACGCATCCCCGTGACTGTGCGCGCGGTACTAATGTAATGTTACCCGATTTCCAAAAAAAAACCGAAAAATACCTCGGGCGCGTTATAGATAAACGTATGACCGAATATCGTTGGGGTTTTCGAAATTATCGCGGATAGCCGAAGTCAATGCGAACACGACCGACGGCGATTATTAACGATGATTCGGATTTTGTAGCGAATGGTTCTTTTGACGCGGCGGTCGACGCGATTGAAACGTAATTTCTTTACACGCATATGCGTTTCGAATCGGTTCTGATTGAAACGAAGTAAACCTGTTTTCGTTTTCCACAAAAAGCGCTGTTCTCAAACTCTTTTCCCCGTTCGTTTGTACCGCCGACAATTAAACCAGTAATAAAATGGACAACCGATAAAATAATGATCGCCGTAGCATTATGAATGGCACTGCGCTTGAACACTAATGTCAAACGGCATTCGGTTTAAACGATTCGGTTTACACGAAACGTGCACCCACCATCAACATTAGTTGATGTGGAAAGGCCGTTTTCCGCGTATGGAAATTTATTAGCACCCGACAGGATGAGTTTCAACGAATGCAAACCGACCAAATGTGACGGCGGTGGTCATAAATATCGCTTTTCCAATATTTTATTTAACGCGCGATTTAAATTTGTCGTTTCTCAGAATTAAATTTAACGAAACGCTTTTTTTACGATTTCTTTCGCCACGAAATCGTCGCGTGACCCAACGACGACCGTATCCGGCGCGGGTACCCCGGCCGTTGTAATTTTCGAAATAACCGCCGATCGAAGTATTTTCGCAGCGAATCTAAACGCGGCGGGCGGCAAAGGGGGGAGGAGAGGGGGTTCGCCTTGTATTACTATCCGTAACTCCATAGGCGTACGTAACAAGTATTATAATAACGCACATATACATATATACATATACACACACACACACGCACACGCTATACAAGGATTATGTGTGGTAGCGTACACTCGCGGGTATATTTATAGTGTTCGACGAAAACCGACGATCGCTTATCGTCATCGTCGCCTTATATAAAAAAAAAAAAAAACCGACTGGTTTATACGTGCCGCGGGATTGCGGAGCTCGTAAAAAAAAAAAAAACACGTAAAATCATCGTCGAGGCGCGCGCGGCTCGAGTCTCCGGAATCGTAATCGTTCGGCATTCTAAACAATATATTACGTTCTGCGGTCCAACGGAACGCGGTCAGGTTTTTACACTCGCGGCGGCGCGCGTTTCGACCGGCGGGAACTGGAAAGGAGGGGGGGGTTAAAAAACCGTTTCTGAGTCGCGGCGCGGATCGACGACAATAACAATAGTTATAACGTGTAATATCGTTTTCGCGCTTTTCTCTTCGGGGGAAGGGGGGTGGGGGTGGGAGAGGTTTCTTTTATTCCGCCTATATTTATCATTCCCCCCCCCCCGCGCGCGTTCCGCCGACGTTTTACACCGAACGCGCGATATCGTTACAATGATGAGTGCGTCACGCCGACACCGCGGCCCGCAACAGTTACACGCGACTTTGGCGACGGAAAAACAAAAAAAAAAAAAATTAACAAACCACGCCACGTTTATTGCCATTGAACGTCGACATTGTGCCGCGCTGTCGGATTTACCCGTACGCGCCCGGTCGCGGCAATTTCGTAAACAAACTCGTCCGTTAAATTGCCGATTCCCGCAATCGGTCGGAAAAAAATTCACCAACGACCCCGTGCATTATGTGCGGGTTATCCTAATCGTTTGCGCATGTACGCAGCGGCGGCCAAACGCAATCAGCTTTTACGCGCGAACGTTTAGTTTTTTTCAATTATTGCACGGGCCGCGGCGAAATCGCTCATTAACTCGCCTCGCGGTTTCCGCGGCGTGTTACGTCGTCGTCGTCGTCGTCGTAAGCGCCGCAGCCGACCGGCACGGGCAACAATAATTTATGGGTCTCCATGCGCGGCGCCCTTTCACCGACGGGTAAACGGCGGAATGCCGCGATTTCGTGTGTTGCGCGTATTGATTAACGGGCGCCGAGACGAAACACCGCGCGGTCTTTTGTGCGCGCGCCACAGTGAGAGAGAAAACGGGGAAAAAAATCAACGAAAACGAAAAAAAAAAAAACAACTCCTAGCTCCGCGGAGAGCGGCGACACGCGGTTCCGCTCCCGAACGGGCAGGGGGGACGGTGGTTAGAGGGGCTGGCGGTAGTGGCGAGGGGTGGAAGCCGCGGGCGGTAATACCGTCGAGCTCTCGCGCACACGTACCTCGTCGTCGTCGTCGTCGTCGTCGTCGTCTTCGTCGTCGTCGTCGTCGTCGTCGCCGCCGGACTGGAGTCTCGGATCGCCGTCCACGCCGTCCACGCCGTCGTCCGGCACGTCCGCGCAGTGCCGCAGCACGTACTCGTCGTCGTGGCGCAACCGGAGCGGAGATTGACCGGGGACGGCTTCCCTCTTGGAACGTTTCGCGATGGCGCTAATACTAATGTTGTTGTTGTTGTTATTGTTGTTGATGACGTCGCCGCCGCGATTGTCCATCGAACTGCTGTCGTCGCCGCCGTCGTCCATGACCAGTATGTCTTTGATGTTCATGTCGTCGCCGCGGTGCACGTGACGTCACGCATTACGGTCTGCACGTGGCCGCGTCGCCCGCGGTGGGGTAGTAGTGTGCGCCGCCCGGTAACCGGTAAGTTCGTCGTGGCGGCCGGTGCGCGGTGTTGGAGCGGACGACGGGGGTAGGGGGTGGGGGGAGTCGCGGAAAGAGGGTAGTTTCCCGCGGCACGCGACGAGAAGCGGCCGGCCGTGTGCGAGGGGGTGGTGGCGTTATGACACGGACACGACAATGATATTATTAATACGGAATGAAACGGTAAGAAGAAGGGAATAAAAAAAACTAGAGTGGTCACCGGCGGAAGGCTCGGAGCTATGTGCGTACGGTTTGGCCCTGAAGCGGTTTTACCTGTCTCCGCGCCCGCCGATGTATCGATTTCGATTGTCGACCGCGCCAAAAATCGATAACAAAATCGCCGGCGATGTTTTCGCCGGCGCGTTTGTACGCGTTATAGAGACACGCTCGACGAGCCGGTCGCAATCGATGTCTCTACAATAGCCGCCTAGCCGCCCGGGTCCAGGTCAAACAGCATCCAACAGGTTTTCGTAGTAGTGTATAGTGTGCGTAGTAGTAAGTGACGCGCATACAGGGCGGTCGACGAATCACGTCAGCGTAAATAAACGTACGTACTCGGAAACTATTGTACATTAAGTCGTTTTTTTTTCTCTCTTCGGAATTACGCGCGCAGTTTCGCGTTGCCCTCACTATTCATCGCCCCATACGGCAAGACCGTATACCGACTTTTGATTTCCGACGAAATCCGACAGAACCACCGTAGGCGTACATTATAAACACTGCAGTGTTACAAGCGCGTCATCGAGTGTTGCCATTACGCGGGCTGCAACGAACATTCGCCGAAATAACGGATTCCGCTGTGGACGCGACGGGGATAACGAATCGGTTGGGTAACTCTGGGCGACGGGCCGTGTGGAGGCCGAGAAGTGGACGCTGTCGCGTCCGATCGGAAAACAACGGTTATGTATTCGGCAAACGGTTGGGGTTGTTATATATTTTTTTCTTTCTTTTCAGTCTAGCTGAAAAATCCCGGGCACGGGAGAATGTCGCAGCGTACGCGTACGGGAACACGGGAAGGCACGACGGCGCTTCGCGGACGGCCGTCGATCACTCTGTATGCACAACACGACAACACGCACGTAAACCGGGTACGTACCTGAGTACCGTGTCGTAGGCGATGTTCGAGCGCGCGCGCATTCTCTTCCTCCACCCCGGGCGCCGGAACCTCGCGATCTCACACACGCGCGCGCGCGCGCGCGCGCACATACTCACATACGCACGCGTACGCGTGTACACCACTCGAGGTTCGTGTGCGCGACAACCCAGAAATTCTGTGTTGCTCGCTCACCTGTTTGCGCCCGCCAGTGGTTATCAAAATAATACCGTTCTACGTATCCGTGTATATGATACACCCGTCATATTATTACCATTACAATAGCAATAACACGCGAACGCGTCAAAACGACACGACCGCGTGTACAACTATAATACCGTTGTATACGCGCGCGTCTCGGTTCACAACCACAACCACAACAACAACAACAACAACAACAACAGCAACGGCAACAACAGCAACGGCAACGACAGCAACGACAGCGACGACAACAGTACTATAATAATATGTGTATTGTAACGACGACCTCGCGAAAACCCGAATCTAGGCCGCGGTCCGCAACACAGTCCGCCGGTCCGCGCGCCGCGCGTTTACGCCCGTGTTAAATATATACGCACACGATAGTACATTATACCGGAGGGGGGGGGGCGACGGGGGTGTTACTTTATTTCCGTTTCGTCGCGGACCTATGACGAATATCCGCTTCGCCCTCGTCGCGAATTCCGCGATAATATACCGCTGTGATAATAAACTGTGGTCGTCGCGTGTATTACGTGGTCGAACGAAAACCGAAAAAAAAACGAAACGGACATTATCACGCGTCGTTTAAAAAAAAAAAAAAAATTACACCGAAATAATCATCGGTCGCGCTCCGTTTCGTTACGAAATCAACGCGTAATATTAATGCGCCGTCGTGTATTGTTAATGCCGTTCCTTCAATGTCTGCGCTATAAACAATTTTAAAAAACGCAACGTTTTCCATGTACGCGTGCCGTGCGCCGTGCGGAAAATCGGTCTTTTTGCGCAAATACTACGACTTTTTGCAACGGGACGGCCCCCGTATGTGAACTACTTGTTATTTTGCCAAACGGCCGACTGTTCTTCAGGCTTATTGCGTACAGGTTAACAACGGTTAGGCCCTTCAAGAACTACAATCGTTATACGGCAATAACCATTTTACTTATCTGCGTAGATCGTGGACCGTTAGACACTAAAAATACAATTGGCAAGGTTGGAGGCAAAAAAAAAAAAAAAAATTAACACGAAAAAGCCACAGGCGAGCCGCGTTGTTAATCGTTAATAATCAATTTTGATATCTGTTGTAAATATACATTGGTAATAATCGCGCTCCTAGCACTAGCATAGCGTAGAGGTAGTATATGGTATACATAGCATATATTATGCTGCAATATTTAAGAAATTAACTTTTAAAAATAATAATGTTATTAAATCTAAAAAAAAATTTAAAATAATAATATTGTTTGTATTTAACACGGCCGATGGGGGACGGGCTGATGCCCCTTTAGCCCGTCTTGGATACGCGGCTACTTGCCGGATACACTGGTACACAAACGTATACAACAAATCTCTTGCTTTGCTAATACTGTACTCGACTAGAAATCTAAATAGAACATAAAAAATTTAGGCCCTTAACGTGTTATCTACTGGTCGGACGGATGAAAGATTTAAACAGCTATAAACCTGCTCTTGACAACGCGGATCGTTTAAAGAAAACGAAAAAAAAAACGCCATTAAAATCGATTCAGTAGTTGTTCAGTTTATTAATACCGGATAAACTGTATAAGCACTCATCGAGTATTTAAATACGTTTATTCGTTATTATGATTACCCGCAGAGCATGTTTGATAATAACGTACACGTATACGAGTATACAGGCGGATCGTTTAAATGATTTCCGGAGTGCGGCGAACGTCGAATTTATCGAAAACCGCCGTTTTATTAGTATTTTTTTTTTTTTTTTTGTTTTACAATCTAAATCAGCGCACTTAGCTTAATCCTTTAAATGGTCAATAAAGTATGATGAAATAAGTCTAATATCAACTTACGTGTATACTGTATACCCACTGTCTAAAACAAAATTACATAGGTACATTGTGTTATTCACTAAACGAAATTTAGTCGATTTACTTGATTAAGATTATCCGTACTGTTTTATATTTCTTGGCCCGCCCAAAGATAATTGCTTACCAAAGTGGCCCACCGAAGAAAATACGTTGGTGAACACTCACATCGAAAATGTCAACAATTACATTTTTTACGCACTAAATAATAAGCGTAATTTTTGTGTTTTGAAAAAAATACAATGTACTTCCTTTTTTTGTGTGAGTAATTATTTTTGATTTGTTTGGAGAAATGAGTATAATTTAGACGGCGAAAAAAAAAATACTAATAAAACAGTTAATTTTGATAGATCTGATGTTCGCGACATCATGGAAATCTGAAAATTTCAAGGAACTTTTTTATTTTACCCAGCCGAACATAATATTACGATAAGATCAAAACGAAAATGAAAAAAACATGAATTATTACCGAAAATTGTATTTTGTTTCAATAAAATTGTACGTATTATAAACAAATTAATAAATTTGGGTTAGTAATTTGTATAGCGTTAGAAAATCGTATTTAATAAGTTAAAGCCGTTAGACGGAGGACATTTAAACCCTTCTACCATCGGGTCTAATAATATCTGTGAATTTTAAGTGCTATAAGTCCCCGAACCCTGCTACAACCTTTTTATTGTGTTTCAACGAGTCCTGCAATACGAAACGTATGATCTTTTCAGCGATTTATGTACCGCCGTATGACGTAGCTGCACTAACCGGACCGAAATGGTCCAATGGCATCAACACCTCCTCCGCCCATCGCCCTGACAGTTCGAGGGCAGTTTGGTCGCGGAGAGGTCCGCGACCCGGTGGTCCTGCGGTTCGTGTTTTAAATGAAACTTTCCGCGAAGTGCGAACGGGCATTCAAAAGGAAACGATGGCAAAACTCGCGAAACGGTTATAGATTTTTTTTTTTTTCGGAGGGCAGGGGGAGGGAGGAATTATAATACGCGAACGTCGTGGTCTTTGCGGATTTCGCATTTAAACTCGAAACGCGTTACCGCCACACAAAAACAACTTGCGGCGGATCTGGGCGTTGTAAAATTGCCGTGGCGTTTCTGCCCGGCCGAAACAATAATGATTTCCTGCGCGTGTAAAACCGAATGAAAACGCGAACATTTCAAACGCCTGTAAACGGTTCGGAAACCGCCAGAACATGTTGAAAAACGGTAAAAAAAAACGAGCAAGGCCTCTTAATCGATACGATCGTTTTCAACAGGACGATATTTGAAAAAAAATAATAATACCGAGTAAAAACCGAAGAGACCGGCGCGTTTCGTTTCGAGCGGTTCGAATATTTTCGAACGTGATTAATAATTATTATATAAAAAAAAAAAAAAATCAAAAAAACCGCCGGATAATTTACCGTCGAAATTCCCATCCGTATATAATACGTGTACGCGTAAGAATAACGCGAAATTTATTTGCCGGACCGGCCGCGTACGCGATTTCGAGTATATTTTAATGATTTTTTTTCGACGGCGCGCGTATTAACAAATCATTTTTTTTTTTTTTCTAGTTTCTACAGCCGGCGATGCCCGCGCGCGCGCGCCCATTTCTTAAACGAAAGCAAACAGAAAAAAAAAAAAAAAACCAGAACCAGCTTGCTTATCAAACGCCGGACGTCATTAACGGCGCGTTACTCGAGCGGTCGAGTAACTTGATAATCGGCCTGTTCCGATGTTACACCGACGGTTTTCGATTATTTCGTAACATTTCTAAAAATATACCGTTTTTTCAGAAAAAAAAAATAACGGCGGATTTACACGCGTGCCGCAATTTGCACAACGTTTGCCGCATAGGCGCGTACGTGTTATATTCGCGAAAGCGATTTTCGCAGGAATATAGCGAGCGTGCCGGCTCGCGCAATTTAACGATTTGCAATTATTTTGCGCTGCACCGCGCAACGGTCGGCCGAAGTGCCGGGCGCATTAGCCCAGTTCGATAGCCCTGCACGAAAAACGGTCGGTAGTTTTTACGATTTTTGTATACGTTTTTTTTTTTTCCGGGTGACAAATAAAAAACAAAAACAAAACGGCTTTAATAAATTTGATCAAACATAAGACACAATACCACAAGTGTAAAAAAAAAAAAAAAATAATAATATAAAATAAAAAATCCCGATTGATTCATAATATAAAAAATTAACAAACATTTGGTATCCGTTGTAAATACATATTATGAGTTTCAAATTATGTATAACAAAAAACAATTCTTAAAATTATTAATTATATTACCGAGTTTAAAACAAAACAATGCAGACGGTGTTAATTTACATATAACAATTCGAACACAATTACACAGAAGAAAAACAAAATACTATTTTGACTAGTCGACGGTGTTATATATGTGCAATTATTGTTATTACGAGTGAACGTTTAATGGTTTTATAATTGTTTTACCATAATATGACACAATACATGTTGTTGAAAAAGCAACGCTATAAACTGAACTCCGCTCAGAATCGTTTTTTCGTTAGCGGTGGTTTATCGGTGCGTACAGATATACATTAAATTCCCGTCTGTATCCTATACTCCCAACTCCGCACTTACTTAACAGTGGCTGCACCCACGTGCGAAGTATGATTTTGTTTTCATTAATTAAAAAAAAAAAAAAAAACCAGAACCAGAATCGGCTAGTAATTAAATAACCAGCTCGTAATTTCTAGAAATTAAACGTATTTCCAAAAATAACAATGGGTTTCGCAAGTTGGCACGCGTACAATTTGTACAATATTTTCAGTGACGATTCAGTTTTCGCAGGTATGTAAATTTACTAGCTAGCACAATTTGACAATTTGTTATTATTTTGTACTGCAGTCTTCAATAGTCGACCGAAATGCAATAATGCGCATACAATCATTTAATATCTGTGTCCGAAAAACGGTCGATATAATTATTTATAAACATTTTTTTTTTTTTTTTGATTAATTAAAAAAATAATAAAAATTAAGACTGCTAAAACGGCATTGATAAATTTGATGCCCGTGACGTCCAGACATCGTTTTCAAGGTCCGAACATCCGAAGGAAATCTTTTTTTTTTTTTATCCGGCCAAACATAGACATAATACCGAGAAAAAAAAAATTATATATATATATATATATATATAATAAATAAAATACTGATCTAATTTGACTCGTAATATAAAAAAGTAATATACATCTGTATCATTATTATAAATACATAATATGAGTTTAAAATTATAATAAAACGTTTCTTATAACTATTAATTATTACTAAGTTTAAAACGAAAAAAGGAAGACGGTTATGATTTAAAGATAATATTTCGGATAGAATTACACGGATGAAAAACAAAAAAAAAAAAAACTAACAAAAACTACAAGCTATTTCCACTAGTCGAGGGTGTTATACAAGTGTAACTGTTGTTTCTACAATTTTATTCGGGACACCGGTTCGTATACGGAACAATAATTAGAACACGGACTCTGCTAATGCGAAAATATTCGAACAATAATCTACGGCTACCAAACCATACGGCTGTTTCGATCCGACTATAACGTCTGTATATTTACTAAGATAATTCCACGTGTGAATTCCCATACTGCCTTTCAGTTTGGCCATTGTATTTTCACTCTCGTTTTCATCGAAATACAGGAACCATTCGTTCCAACTTATCGGACAAAACGCTTCTGGTTTATACACCGTGAATCCTTTACACATTACCTTATCCATTATGTCTATCTAAATATTAAAACATACACGGATAAGTAATGACGACGCCAACAAGTTATACGAAAACTTGATGGTTTTAATAATAATGATGATAACAATAATAATAATAATAATAATAAAAAAGAGCTGATACTGCTAACGGGTGTGCTACTGTTGTTGTTGTTGGCGGAAAGTTGGGAAGGTAGTTTACATCAAGTCGGGTATTTAACTTCAAGTAGATTTCCGTTTAAATTTGGTAGAAAATTTGTTTACGGCCACGAAAATGAAATAAAGTAATAACACGAATCGCAGTAAAACCAATGCGCTATCGAAATCAAAATGTAATACGATTAATAATAACGAAAATAGGTACTCTGAAATCGCGTAGGCAATAAAAAATATTGACGAGGAAACCCCGAGACGGTAACATTTGACGAGGGGGAAAAAACGTGTATTAATTACTATACATTTTAGTGTGTATACTAAACGAATAATAAAATATTATTCATATATATCAAGTTTGACATAAATTATGATGTTAGTGCGTTACATACCGAGTGCTAGTACAGATCGAAATCGTTTTCGCTTGGTCAATCGTGTTTTACATTGTACTATGTAGTTCAAATAAATAGTTTTAATTTTATTTTTACTCAATGAGTATGATAGCACCAACGAACGATAATATAAGTTCAATGAAAACTATTCAAAGCAAGAAGAAAACATATAGAAGAGGAACTACGCGCCTGTAAAATTCCGCGGGTTAGCCATTAGAGGCGAGCATTCAAATGCATTCAGTTTTCGTTCGTTTTCGAATCCATAATAACTATGGACAATTAACAATTATAATTTTTTAACTTTTTCGATCGGAACAATTATGATAACACACATGCAATGTATAGTAACAGAGATTATCGTTTACATGTGATAAGTGTAGCTTGTTGTTACGTTCCCCTCCGGTTTTCACTACAGAGAAGTTTTCCCGTACTTGTTACAGTCTTTTTATCATTATACATATTTACCGAGTCTGTGTTGCAAACTTTTTGAAGTGCTCTGGTAATAACACCGGGGCCATTGTACGCCCATTCGTAACCACGGTAGTTCTCGACAAAATCGTGTACTGTAATATTCGCAATCATTTTTCCAACGTCATCAGTGCCAAAGTTCAATACAGAAGACGCAATAAACGAGCTCGATTGAGCGCACGCGAAATTTTTAATACCCTCCAATGACCTAAACAACGGATAGTTAATTTGTTTGTTTTGCTTTTTAAATCGTGTACGGCGATGTACTCACTTCATCAAAACCATATCTAGATCCAAATAGGTCCCGCCGAATTTCCATAACGTCAGAAATCTCAACAGGTCACTGGAGTGAGGAACGGGCCAATCGCTCGTGAAAATCGCGTCCGACGTAACGAAACCGTGCGCTGGCGTACCGTAGGAATATTTCGTGAAATCGACGTGTCTCAAATGAATATTTCCGTAGGCGTTTAACGCGGTAATGATTGCCGAATCGTTGTTGGCGAAACCGCCGGACACGAACAATACAAATATTTTCGAATTCGGGTTCAAACTCGCCGCAGACTCGACAGCGCAGGCTTGTCTCAAGTTCAAACGGATCCCGTCGTCGTGGGCGCACGACGTTTCGATAAAGAAAATGCTGTTTTCGGTCACTTCGGCCGGGTCTAGTTCGCGTAAAGAGTTACGGCGGCGGTTTTCAAAGTAACAGGATATTTGACTTTTCGGCGGCGAACCGCGCGGCACCGGGCCGGGTCCGTGGCCGGCGAACCGGGTGTTGTACGCGAATATCACGAGCAGCACGAGCAGCGCGCACAGCGCGACCAGAACGCCGAACGTCCGTTTGAGGTACCGAAAACAGAACGCGTTTCCGAGCAATACGTGTACGCGCATTGCGCGATTGTAAATGTCCGCCGCGCGACTTATGACGAAACTACGGACCGTAATTAAAAATCAATTTAACACGTGCCGAGACGGACAACGTTCACAACCGAGGCGCCCGGCCGTCGACAATCCGAACGCGCGCAACAATCGCATTGTTTTGGTTATTGTCGTCGTCGGTCCGGCGCGGTAACGTCGGCGTTTTCGAATGACACGCGGACGATAATTAAACCGCTCGAGCGTGTGCGTACGTAGAACACTCGAACGGCTATCGACGAAACGTGCACAATACCGTCGAACGCTACGCGCAAGCCGATCAAACAGCGGCGGCAAAGTGGCCGTGCAATTATAAATAATAATGATACGATAACGATTTTTTTTTTTTTTTGCCCGTGTTTTCCCCCGTCGTTTTGTTTCGCGGCGTTCATTCTACGGGCGCGTCGCTCGTCGTAGATATTCACGACGGACGGATGTGACGCGTTCGAACGTCGCCGACGGCCCGCGCGAAACGCCCGAAAACGAATGCGATTAGGCGTCGACGACGGACGGCAAATTTCTACGCTGCGGCGGCCACGCATTTCCGATAGGATATTTTTCGCCGCGAGCCCGACGACTGACACCGCGCAGTACTGACCCGACGATAACGTCCGTGTCGGCGCCGAACTTACGCGTACGCATTGTTATTAGGCGTGGGGCGCCGCATCCCCGCGGAATTGACGGTGTTGCGTAAAACACATTATTTCGAGACTAATGCGAGCGGGCGCAAAGTGTTGCGGAGTTGGAGCCGCGTCCACGTTACAATAGCAAACGATATTGTACACTGTAATATATTAAATTTGATTGTTATCGTTTTTATTATGACCGCCGTAGCGTGTTCAGGTCGCATAATCAGTAAAAGCCACGATCAAAGATAATGTACCTTCATTATTATATCTTTGGTACATCTTTAATCGTGGTAAAAACGCAAAACTATTTAAACCCACGTCGGGCGTAGGGTTGCGCTCCACTAGGCGTTTAAAAAATATCACGCTAATCAAACGAAAAACAAAATGAAAATATATATTTATATTGAAAAAGACGGTCCTGCTTCACAGTTCACACGATGGACGGGGGGCTACTGTTATGGGCGAGGAGATGGGAGAGGGGTAGGATCAAGGTTGGGCATCAACGGGTTAAGAGTTAAAATTTGTTAATTTGTACTTTTTTTTACAAATTAACTTTCAACGTAATAGGTTACTTTTTTTTTTTTTTTCTAAGATTAACGTGTTAACTCTAGGTCAATTCTATTCAAAAGTATCTAAATTGAGTTGATTTTCGTCCAAATGCAAATTATTGAACGTACGGACATATACTTATAATTTACTATTTTAACATGAATTTCGCGTAGACGCGAACAATACGAAAAATAACTTTAACAGTCATAATATGGGCTATATAAATCTGCCTACACGTTTGTCATTATCAATTTTATTACTAATATTTGCAAAAGTGGATAACAAAGATTATCGCCTAGACGGGTTCCCCGAAGCGGACAATAAAGATTATCGCCTAGGCGGGTTCCCCGAAGCGGATGTGAAATGTTGTCGTGAACGTTTTTCCGTTAATAAATAAATGCAATAAGTCGGCAAGTCGGAATTCGGTTCCGCAATAATTACCGGCATTATAACAAGTCGCAACGCATACGAAATGCCGAATTCGATAAATAATTATTTTGACGCGTTATTATTGGTCGAGCCCGTAACATAGACGACTAATAAGTAATAAAATGACAAGTATAAGCAATGCCGCCGTGTGTCGTACGTTCGTAATACAAATTCACGTATAATGTATAATTTTCCATTGGACCTTTTACAGATACGGGTTGAACAGCTTTGTGTATACAAACATTTGTATACAATATCGAAATACGGAGTAAAAATAATATTATATCATTGTTATTTCTATGCACTTAACGCAAATAAGATTACGAGAATTTTACATCGTCGCGATTCGTCGTGGCTCTGTTCGTTTCATTTTTATAACGTTGTTATTGTATAAACCCACGGGAATCCACAGAATATTCCGTGGAAATAGTGTATACCCCGTGAGCGAGTGTCGATGGGGGACTAATCACAGAACAACTACGGTATAATATCCAATTTAGTTTCGTTATCCGACCATAATTACCACGTGTTCTGTACACGTCACGTTAGAGTTTATAACATATTGTCATTGGCTTATTATATTTCCGTGAGAGTTTATCATTTCTTTATTGTCCATTTTATTTATTTATAACTACAACGTCCGAGTGGCCTCATTTTCAAAACTTATTTCGAACAACAACTATCGGGAATCGGATATAACGGGGAAAAAAATTATCAAATTTTACATTCAAATGCACGCTACTGCACACCGAAAATAAAATTAATATCGACTTCCATAAGTTCAAATTCAAATTTAAAAACTCGCATCGAGGTAAGTTTATTCATAACAATATATATATCGTTCCGCATGCATAATCGGACAGTTATAATTGTAATTGTTCGCGAATTTAGGAAAATATATCCGGTTAATGTTAAGGCGCAACTGCCTGTTATTATTTAATTTTTTTCAATAGTATCAAAAATAAATCGCTATATTATAAGTAAAGGTACCGATTTCACAGCTTTTGTAATCAACTCGAAAATTAACGATTAAAATTATCTTTTGATCAATCGTGTTTCTTGTCCTACCGTAGGATAAGTAGCGGGATTTAATGTAAATCTGTACGCAACGATTAATCATAACTAACAAAACAAGATTCTGAACAGAGGTAATATTCACGATTTTCGTCAAAATTTGATATTATAATTGTTATAAAAAAAAAAAAAAAACCCCACCACACTAAACTCAACTTTTTCTTGTTGGCCATTGAGTACAACCTATAATGAACCTATTGTTAAATTTCCAAACATTTCTATTTGGTCTAACAATTTTATCAAAAGAGTACCTACCAAATTAAAATTACGTAAAAACTCCCAAAATTATAATTTTTCTAATAGCTCAAAAACGCTCATACGTTTTTACAATTTTACTACTTCTAGAAAAGGTTGACTTCACAACTAAAAACAGTAAAAAATTAACATCAATTGACATTTGACATGGACGGGAATATATTGGTATGTGTTTTCGTATTATTATTATATTTATTTTTTTTTTTTTTTTGTTGTTCGGTTTTGCTCAATTATTAACAAAATACACGGGGAAAAAAAACGACTCTCCGAAAAAAAAAAAAAGGTCTCGTGATCGTTTTTTCTATTGGAGCAATATGTTTGGTAGAAAATATCGTGCGTACAAATTTAAAACAAAATCCGTTCGGCGCCACTGGCGGTCAGTGTCCATAACACTATTATAACGTTATTTCGGCCGGAGATATTTGTTTTTCTCGCGCAACAACAGACCCTTTTCGACATTAGCGTAGCACAATAAAACCGTATCGCGCACGTTTACAACGGCCCGGTTTATGCTGTAATCGGTCGTGCGATAAGATCACAGAATGAGATCATTGCGAATTTGCGACGATGGCGTCATTGTATATTGTATACATTATGACATTACACCGTTTACGGACTGCGACGTCTGGCCGCGTTAGTTATAAAAGTGTGATTTTTCGATCGAAACGATATTGCCACCCCCCCTCTCCCACCCCGCCGCCAAAAAAAAAAAAGACTAATCAAATCCGCCACTGGTACTCGTACGTGTAAAACATTCAATTCCGACGTCGTCGTCGTGCGGAACACGCTGCCCGTGACGCACGGCGCGTCGAGCAAAATTGTTGACGGTGTTATCGAAAGTCGTCGGATTTTTTTGTTTTTTTTTTTCCGGTCATCCCTACTCTTCCGATCTGTTTCGCATTCCGAGGTTGGCGCCGCGGCCGCGTCATTTATCGACCATCGGCGCGGTTAATTTTATTGATTTACATCGTTCCGTGAATTATTGACTCTCATTCGAATCCCCGTGTATACGGGTATCTGCGAGTCCAACGTACAACGGAAATTATACAAAAACAAGATAGGCATTTTAAAAAAATAAAGATAATAATACAAGTAGGTCGGTTAATTTGGGTTGTATAACGCGAACGGAACGTATATTCGTATATAATCGTTTACTGTTTACTCTGTCGCTACGTGTCTTAAAAATTTTAATTTATTATCGTATTATGTTGTGTAAAGTCTGTAGCGTTTTTTTTCCGCTTAAACTCGGAACGGGACCGCGCAAAAACCAGGAATGTAAAAACTTGGACGGTAAAATAGAAAAAAAAAAAACAAAAATTGAAAAGTCGGGACGTAGCGCGTCTCCGTACGATCTTTCCCCCTTACCCCCGACAAATAGTAATACGTGCGTATTGCGTGAAAAGTATTACGTGGATCTGAACGCGCGACCCGCGAGATTTCGGGCACAATTGAGACGAGCGACCCCCCCCTCCCCGCTTTAAAGGAGCCCATTAAGGACCCGCGTCAACAACCCGCCGCCGCCACGGCCGTACGATTGACGGGCGATCCCGCGACGATTCGCACAGCGGCGGCGTACCAGGGGACGGCTGGGAGGGCGGGGGGGCGTTTGCGTGTCGTCACCCTCCCCGGCGCGCTTTCCCGCCCCGGCTCGTTCGCCCGCACAGGTGGTAAGGCCGAAAAGATCGCGGACCCCCCAAATCCGGCCCCCCCCTCCCGGATCCTCGCGGCCCAGCGATAAACCCCCCCCCCACCATCCCCGGGCTACGCCGACGGCGCGACGTACGCGAACGTAAACGGTACACCGGCGTACGTACGCGTAGGCCCGCGCGCGTTATTGTGTCGCATCGGCCGGATCGTTACGGCTATGACACATTGTTATTGTTGTCGTACGTTTTCGTACGGAACGCGCGCGCACACAATAACGTTTACGCTTGTCGGTTGACGGTTCGCGGTTGCGTCGACGGCGGCGCGAACAAATATTGCGATCGCGGACGGCGACGAGACACCCCGGGTTCTTTACGCGTATCGCGCGCGCGTAATAATTCGTGTGCACGCGCCCGGTAATCAAATAACGATTTACCGCACACGCGTTCTCGACAACCGTCGCGCCGCCGATGTCGTTCGCGTATCGTTAACGGTCGGCGGAATGTGTGGTGGGAGGGGGGGGGGGGGGGGGGTGACGGGCGGGCGGTTTTGTACGCATGTACGTACGGTTTTGCAAACCGTGTTATTATGAACGACGGACCCGGGGTACTCCTCGCGGACCGTACTGCGCGCGTAACGTTGTAATCTCGTCGTTCGCGCGGAGACAGTGTGTGTGTGTGTGTGTGTGTGTGGGAGGGGGCGGGGGCGGGGGAAACCCCGATTATTGTACTGTACGAGTAGGTACTGACGGAAAATAAAAAAATAAATAACAATAATAAAAATAGATTCTATGAAATAACACGGCGCGATTCTGTACGGTTTTTGAATTCGCGGCACGTGTATACAGGTGGGGTGACCCGGGGGTTATCCGTTTCGGTCGAAAATGTACCTTTCCGTTTTCCGCCGAACCGCGAAAATCGGTCGATTCCCGTATACGCCGAAGGTTTTCCGTCCGATATGAATAGAACGCAGTCTAATATTCCGACAGTTCAACGGACTTGTTTCATAAATTATTATTATTGTATTATAAAAAAAAAAAAAAAAAAACAAAAAATTTCGGTGTGGAAATCTGATGTTTTATCGGTGTTTCCGTAAAACCGATTTTTTTTTTTTTTAAACAAATTAAAATGTGTTGCTTCAGATGTAAATCGTCAGATATTCGTGTTACGTCACCCCGGCACAAATAATGTACAGAGTACAAAGTCGACGGAACCGAATAACTGTAACACCGGACGGAATCAGTTCCGTTTATGTTCAATGTTTGCGACGGGATTCGGATGTGTACGATGTAAAACGAAAACAAAACAATCGGACGCATTGCCGCACGCTCGTACTGTTTAATTTACGACGGTATAAATGGGATAAAATCGTTCGGACCCCCTCCCCCACCAATACCGTAATTGTTTTTTCCGGTCGCCCCTGACAGTGGCCGATCTACACGCCTGAAATCTCGCGTACGAGACGTATTGCGTCGTGTTGTTTTGTTTTGTTTTTTTTTTCTAATAGACTAAATGACGTGCAGATAAATAATCCACTGGTGTTTTTATTTTTTATATCTTTTTTTATTTTTTTATTAATTATACGTTTTCTTCAAACGTACAGTCATAATAAATTATGCCACGCGCGGCGGTTTGAGACACATTTCTTTGTACGCCGCGGCACACAACTTCGGCGCAGATGTGATGGGTGGGGTGAGGGGCGGCGGGAAGGCATTCGCGGTATTGTGTTTCCAGGAAAATATTCGTTGAATTTCATTTTTATACCCATATTATGATTTACCTAGGCAACTGATTTATAGAAAACAATAAATATAATTTTTAGACACGCGCGATACCTATACGCAGAAACTTGCCATCTGCGCGTATAGAAAGTAAAGACGAGAGTCCCGGTGGATTTTTTATTCTTTCCCGCCATTGTACGGCGAGTGTCCATTGCGCACAGGAATAATGTTGAAAACCACCGAGAGCCTGCCGGAACGACGGCGCGGCCCGGCGGAATTCTGTATAAAATTTAAATATCCGGGAGGGGATACCGGATTTCCGTCCGATCGGTCCGATCGACACGGCAGTAACAAGCGCGTGCGGAGTGTTCTGAAAAGTAAATTTGAATTTTGGCGTTAAGTTAAGGTACAAGTGATGTGCCCGTGCACACGACATCCGACAATTTCAATTGTGTACCGTTTGTGATCCGAACGTTGAATTCGCACAAGAAAAATTGTCCATCACGTTATTCAACACCGTTGGTCGTGCGGACATCGACTCGGAATGATTAACAACGATTAACGTTCTGTTATAATCTCGTATCATGGGTGTTGTGCGAGTCAATAAAATCACTATACAATGGGAACGACTGTTATTATTCTAATTGTTTAATTGGAATAACTCGTGTACGGTTGGACGGTGTTCACGCAAAACTAAATGTACAGGGTGTCCGGGGTTTCATTGTACCCGTCCCTTTTCCCGCGCGTACGCACAGGGATAACTGCTAACGAACTGTGTGTTACCCGACGCGCGTGATTACACGTTTGGGGCGGTGCGCTTAGATTTTTTTTTTTCCGTTATTAACGCGACGAAACCGATTGCGTACAACGCTGTCCGGTGCGCCTCGCGATACACCGTGTCTGTTTCATTATCGGTCGCAATTATAATTGACATGTTTTTAATTGGGTCTTGACATATAGAACAGAAAAAAAAAAAACAAGCGACTCCAACCGCAATAACTGTAGCATATTATGCTAGCCGATGTATAAGCAGTATACACCGTAACTAGATTTATTATCGACAAACGTTTAAATTAGACTCAAGGCCATAACGCACCGTGTGTCGATTCGCACACACAATTTTGTTATCCGTGTTTATTTGTTTGAGGTCGTACGGCCAAAGCCACCGGTTCGCGTACGGTTCGGCGACGCGTTTTCCGGGACAGGGCGATGGGTCTGTAGTAAACGGTTCCGGCCGGGTTAGGAAAATCTTGCATACAATCGAAACCGCACACTGTACAGTTTGTATCGCACCGCGGGTCGGATCGTTTCTGCGGTTCAGTCGCATTTCGAATACGCGACGATCGAGATTAAAACATTGATCGACAATTCATTAATAATAACATGTAATTATCACTGTGGTTAGGTAAGGTTCGTCGTCATGGTAATAATAATAACCAATCAGTTCTAGTAGAATTTTTGAACACAGTTTACAAAATTAACTTCTTTGGTAAATTCAATACATTCTTCGCTACGCTCAGAATCTAGAAGGAAAGAAAAAATTGAAACGATTTCACGTTGAATTTATAACTGTTTTACGAATTCATACCGCTTTATCACACGAACAGTACTGATTGAAAAGAAATATTTAAATATATTCAATCCCCGAAACCGTATTTCCATCACTGGGTGTTCGATTAAAAAAAAAAACACCATAAGATTTAATATTATTGAAGAACTATGACAAAAATATCTACAGAAACGTACGTTCAATATTAATTTTAATAATTTTCCAATAAAACATAATAGGAAAATTATTATAGCTGATATTAAAAATTATATTATATTTCGATCATTACGAAAATCTATTTTTATGGCACAGGATCGAAAACCGATGTAAAGCGCCATCTGTGAGAGCACCCGTGAACGCGGATCGATACACAAAACGTTCCGCTTGACTGCAGCACTGGATAAACGTGAATGATATTTCGTTAGCAGAGTGCGCCACACGAAGATCCATCGAAAAACGTAACGCAAACGTGTAACCATCGAGTATAGTATAGTATAGCGTCAAGTATATCTACCTATTCAGTATTAGTCATTAAAACGTGTTATATTTATGAAAAATAATCTTTTCCTAAGGTACTTGTATTACTTTTGCTACTAAAACGGATATATATACCTGCAGTACAAAACAAAATAAAAAAAGAACACAAAGTTAATATTAACCTCGAAACTTTTTTGGAAATTGTCGGTTCAAAAAAAGAAAATAGCTGATAGATCCTGCTTACGGGTGTGCCACCGCGGTTGTAGATAGAATGATGCGAAGGTTCCAAACTCTATATAGAGTTATATTTAATTCATAACCGGAACCAACTGTAAATCGTTATCTACGAAAAACGATTTTCATCAACATTTCAATTTTCAACAGCTTAATAAAAATATAAAAAAACTACAAACCCGTACATTTCGCACGACTTTTTGGTTTGTTTCCCGCCGATTTAAAACTCGCGATGAACCTGGTGATAAATTATTATCCGAGTATGGGCCTAAAACAATATTGTTCACGACGTCATTACCGGAAACGCGCGTTTTTGCCCCGTTCGTTGCCGATCGGACGTAACGCGGAGAAAAGCGGTGGCAATATTTAGATTAAAAAAAAAAATCGGCGCGTAAACGCCGCGTATTTTAAACGGTACCCCGGACGCGTATATTTTTTTACGGCTGTAAAATTCCAACGCTGTTTATATATTTTCCTTCGTCGTCGTCGGTTACGTGATGTTTCCGTTGCCCCGGTAAAAAAAAAAAAAAATCGAATGCGGTTTATAGGTACTGCTATACAACGCGGGAGTGTGTACGAACCGAGTTGTCGTCGTACTTCAACGGCAAACAAGGGCGTAGAATTTAATCAACACCTAGAAGCTAACTCGATTCGAACCGCCGCCGGGCCTCGGCGCGAGACATTATATTATCCTCGAACCAATAAAACTCGCGCGGTAAGTTTTGCAATTTTACACTTTATATTTATATATATAGAGAGAGAGTGAGAGAGAGAAGGGCATCGAAAGTTTATCGCAAGTTTACCGACCGCAATTCTAATTCTAATAATAATAATAATAATAATAACCAATCAAACATTTAACAACGGGCCAATCGATAATTGCATCGTACGTGTTTAACGCGCGTAACCCGACGGTTATTAATTATTATTAAACGGACGAGAAAGGGTCGGTTAAGTCGATTTCGGACGGTTTTGTACGCGTCATTTTGCGCCGGCGCGAGGTTTCGGGTCGCGTCGACGCATACCGATACATCAACAGGCTTGTTAATACGCGCTAAGTATAAATACTATATACTATTATGATAGAGTGCTCGACGCCTTGATCAGAAACGAGTATAGTGTTCCGAATATTTATTAATTTTATTTCAGAAAGTATTCAAATTATAACCAAATTAACTTTGAAACGTGCGTGATTTCCATCGGTGGGCGGTTTAAATCGATTCAAATCGTTTCCTCGATGTTTCCTGCAACCGTTAAAATATAACGCATTATCGTAGTAACATGTCACCTCTATGCTATCGCCGCGGACGTCTACATTGCATTGGGTTCCATATAGCTGGAACATATTATACGTTTTACGTTGCAGTGATTCGTAATGAGAACAAAGGACGTACGAGTCGTAAGACAAGTCAATGTGTTACAAATGCCTTGGCTTCCAATTCAACGTTCGTCTCTCGCGGAAAATGTTGACGAATGAATATCGTTCGGTTTTGCATTATTTCCGTAATAATATTATAATATTGTCACGCGGTGTTTAAACGTTAAAATACCGTTTGTCGTTATCCGCAGCGGTTTGTGTGTAAAGGTCGCGCGCGCATTGGGAAACCGTGTTATTTATGGCGTTTAACAAAGATATTTGAGAAATCGTTAAGTACCCCGGATAATTACACCGGTGTCGAAATATTATAATAAATCGACGACGGCGTTGCGAAATAATATTACGTTCCAATAATATTAGATATATTTCACACTATACACACGAGTATAATGACCCGTGCGGCCGTAAAAACAGTATATTGAGCAATTGGAAATCGTTCGATCGTTCGGGCGCGCACGAATTTTCAGGCGAACGGTCCGCGACAACGAAAACGCGGTGAGATCCATTGAAACACGAGTTTTTTGTTTTTTATCATAAAAAACCGGACGCACTTCGTACCGCGATTAGCCCACTGTCGTAGGCATGGGAAGTTGAAAAGGTAAATATCGGGTATAATATATTGTGATTATATATATGGTGATTGCAGAGTTCGCATTCTGAAATCAACGATAAATCATTGCGACGACGGTATTAGGTTGTAGTATAACAATTAGTAGTGTTTTTTTGCCTCTGTTGTAATCAAAATAACGCAGGAATCGATAGAAATAAAACCGATGTATCGGGAGAAAACCGCGCGTCTTCAAATCAAAAACGACGAGATCCGAAATGCAACAAAAAAAAGGTCACTTCGCATTTTTGGATCGGAGCAAGATTTTTGGTAGACAAGCTGTTCACGGGTAGAACAAAAAAAAAAAATCATACATTATTGTGTAACATAAAACCAATATATTTCCTAACTCCGCTCAGAATCTAATATATAAGCACACATCGTAGTTAAACCAATTGATTCATCGCTACGTTCAGAATTTTGAAAAGTACGCGACCGTTTCATTAGACTCGACGGATTTTCGCTTTCAGACTGCGCGTATAATAATACGGGTATAATAATAATAATTGCGTATGCTGTTACCGGGGAGAGATCTTGAGTCCGGTGTACACAAACATATGATTTATGATTAAAAAAAAAATATAATATTACCTTTATTGAACTAGTGCCGTTTGAGCAGCCAGAAACAAAAAGCGCAAAATAATAATAAATAGGTGAACGTAATAGGTATACGTAAAAAAAAGTGGGGGGAAAGATTTTTTGATATACGGTCAGCTATATAATCATAGGGTCCTCATATATACGTAAACGGTTTGCACCAACACGAAAAAATTGTACACCGTAAGTATATAGCGCCTTTACTGCCATCAGTTTTTTTTTTCGCTTTTTTCCGCGCAATCTTCCGCCGCCGCGCCGTCATCGGGGCGGAGACGACGACGGTCGTTTTTTTTTTTTTTTTTTTTACAATAACCTTTCGCAATATCATCTTTGTACCTATATTTACAGAGATCGGTTTATATTACAATATGATATACTCGCCGTTTTCTTTAATGTTATACAATATACGTATGATGGGTACATTACCAAATATATATTATTTAACCGATATTTGTCTACCGCTTAGTTGCTGCATTTGCAGCCATCAAGACGAACGATTCGAGAAACAAAAAGATATACAAGCGTTCGGAGGACTTTTTAGGTGCCTGAAAATAATGAAGGATCGAACTGCACTCCGAACTAGAAAAATGTATCGACAGAAATACTCGAAAATTAAACCGATCATAAAATGTTCGAAAACAATCATATTCCTTCTGTAGGCTTATAATTTAACCGAGTCAATAATTAAAATCATCGTCAGTTTTAAGACCGTACGTGAGTGGGAAGAGAAGCGAGAGTGTTTTCAACATTTGTTCGACCCAAGTGCAGTTCGACAATATTTAATTTTTGCAAAAAGTGCAATAATTCTACCGTCCCCGGAAAACGTGACTTTTACATGATCTACACCGCCGGGATGGATAATACACGCAATGATGTTAAGAATAAAACCGTTGTACTCACCCAAGGAGCGGCGCAATCGGCACCGGACGAAAGCGGCTGAAAAGCCGGCACGCATCTAAAAGTCATGACGATGGGTGTCGATAATCGGCCGATGATCAACAGCAACAGCAGCAGCAGCAGCAGTTCGTCAGTCCCAGCGGTGCAGTCGCTGCGGCAGTATCGTTTTCGACTTTCGGTGGTCACAAACGGTGTTGATTACCTGCGCACACAACGGAGAACAAAACATTAAGTCGGATCTTAGATAACAACAATAAAAAAAGTTTACGTCGTTAGGAAAACACAGACAAAAAAAAAAAAAAACCCCTCATAATTACGGGCATCATCGTAACGACCGTTCGTCTCGGTACTGTGTTTAATAATAATATAATACAATATTGCGCGACCCGGTGTTTATCGCTGAATCGTTATTTATTTGGGATACGTCGTTGATACAGAATACGTTTTTGAAAAATTTATCATCCGTACCTCGGGTCGAGAACGGGCCGAACTTATTTGCGAAAATTCGGTATTGTAACGCGATGTGCGGCCCAATACACACATCGGATTTGACGGGCGCTTAATTAAAATTTAAAATTACGAGAAACGCATAGACCGCGGCGATGTCGAAAACGAAAAAAATCCGCGCAGCTGTTATTTCAAACGTGGCCCATCATCTGAGTCGAGCATTTTGAATTCATCGTATACTCCAATATAGAAACCTTTAGTTTGGCTTTTTTTTTTTTTTTTTTTTTTTTCTTAAAAATACAGTAACAATCAGCCGGTCGAGGGGGAAACAAAATATGCCCGAGCGTGTATACATTATTGTATAATTTAGGGTACGGAGAAAAACGTAATTTATAATATTAAATACAGACACTATATATAATAATAAAAAAATTTTTTTTTTTTTTTTTTAAATTTGAGTTTTTCTCGAATACCGTTTTCGTTTTCACCGCTCACCCCGACGATATTATATTATAATTATTACTATCGCGTCGTCGCCGCCGCGTGTTTTCAAAACCCTCCTCGCGGTCAGCCTGCACATAAACATATATAATTATAATATTCTATGTACATAATAATATAATAGGTATACACAGGCACGATAAAGACGTTAATTAATAATTTCGGGGTGGATGTAGTAATAATAGTAATAATAGTATAATAATAATATACACGGCATAGGGGAAAGCGGAGCGGACAATACACTAACGACTGTCGGTATCCACCTATATACCCGCATAATATACACAGATCGGGGTACGCGGATCGTATATATATATACGAACTCAATAATAATAACAATAATTATTATTCATGTCGGGATTTTGAAAATGCTCTGAAAAATCAGTCGAAATACCTTTCGGCCGCAATCGTTAACGCCCCGTGAAAAACGACACGAAAAAAAAGGATACTACAAAAAAAAAAAAAAAAAATTAAAAATTAAAACAAAGATTTTACTATTTTGACCCGTGATGGGTCTGCAAGAGACGACAATATTTTCCTTCGGACTCGTTAACACTATACGGACTGCGACACGAGGCCAGAATGTATATTACAATATAAATATGCTTATATTTGCGCGTGATATAATACCATTATCTCTCATAAAATATAATATCGTCGCATGACTTGCCACAGCGCATATATTAAAATAATTTGATACGATTTTATCTATTATCGATTATAATAATAATAAGAGTAATAAAATATTTCTTTTTAAAAATGTTTTTTCTATAGTTTTTCGTCTTGTTAGACTCGTGCAGGTTATGACTACCGCTTATATCGGAAACTTGTATCAATATATCGTACGCGTGCCAACGCGTGGCATCAGTTGTATTGCGAAGGAAAATTACATTTTAAATACATTAACAGTGCAAAAGATTAGTAACAACTTCGCCTACAGCTACGTGTAAAAAAAAGACAATACCAAAAAGAAATTTTAATTTACGCATAAGTCTATAGATGGTCCATATCAAATCTATTTTTGGTAAAAATTCCGGACGTTAATGCCCATAACTTCCGTTCTGTTGAATCGATTTCCATGGAATTAGAAAAAGGCACCTTTCAGTAATATTTTCAATGTTTTGACATAAATTAAAATTCGATCGGATTCTGTAGTTTTATAGTTATGAGTGCGCAAAAAACATGAGCCGTTTTACATGTGTTTAAATGGGAACGTTATTGTTCGGTATACACTGTCGTTCGCTACGTTTGTTTTTTACTTAGCGCGTGCAACGACCGTCCGTTGGGTTGGATCATTGAGAATATTACCACGTATTTATAGCTATTTAAAGAGATTACATCAATTAAAATATATTTTTTGATCATCCTGTAAAACTATAAAACTATTGATAATTGAGATATGCACTGTTGCGATATAATAGCGACGATATTACGCGCAAATCTTTGAAAATGGAAAAACGCTACATGCCGATTATCACTTTTAGAAAACGTTCGATAGTTAGTCACGGGCCATTTCGATTTTATAAAAGTTTTTAAATTAAATGTATTAATTTTAAAGAATAAATCCGGATTCCCCCGCTCCCAGTTTGTTCAGATTTGTGCAGACAATTGAAATTTCGACACCGCCGAAACGCCTAACATTGAGAGAAACGCTGTCCTAGAACAACACACATACACATACACACACACACACACACACATACACACATGCTAAAAGAAATTAAATGCGCTTTGCATTGAAATCACCGAGGCCCTATAATAATTATTATCATGAATACTATACGATTGAAAAAAAAAATAGACGAAAACCACGAGAGGGCACGTGTTTATACCTACCTATACAATCTACATATATTATAATTATAAATATTATTGTACCTATACATTTTTGTTTTTTTTTTTTCCTGTTCCTCCTCACTATTTTTTTGTAATTAACCGGGCGTACGTGTGCTCGGCACCGAATTACGCGAGCGCGGGCGTGTGATGTCGGGGGCAGAACCCAATACTACTGCAGCCACAATAAAATAAAGGTACCTTAATAATAATGAATCGGCTATAATACACCTTCTATGTATATTGTATTCGTATACAGGGTGATTCTTTTACCGCGTGATCCAATTGCCATTACTGTTATTATTGTTATATTGCATTGCGGTTAATTTACTACATTACCCTACTCCACCGGTCAAATATGTTAGAATATTCGTCGTGAACGGTAACGGAACTTTTAGAAAACATTCTTGTATCGAATCCGTGTTAAAATGTGTGATGTGTGGGGAGGGGATTTTCCATATGGAAATCTAAAGTTAATACCGCTCCAGGAACGAGTATAGAATCGGTAAAAATTTGAAAATAGGGTTTAAACAAAGCTTATAATTTATAACGAAAGGGAGAGGGAAAACGAAAATTGATTTTTTTTTTAAATTCTCCGAAAAAATCGACGGATCGCGATAAAAGAATCGCCCTGTATGCTCGTATGGAGTATACGTAACCTAAAACGAGAAATATATATATAATATATTATAATTGCTTGTTACACACACACGTACACACGTACACACACGAGTATTTCTGGAATTCAGTTCTCCGGTAGCCAGCCGGACGATCGTAATAATAATAATAATAATTTTTTTCTAATACGAGAGTTATTATTTTTTATTTTTCTCCGCGTACATATTTTTTGGTGGACCGTCCGCATTCCTCGTTGCGGCAGTGGACGGACGGGGCAAA